ATCTTCTAATCTGTTCCACTGGTCCTCAGGTCTATTTCTTTGCCAGTACCATGCTGTTTTTATCACAGTAGCTTTGTAGTATAGTTTCAAGTTGTGTGTTGTGATACCCCCTGCCATATCTTTGTTGCCTAGAATTGCTTTTGTTATTCTGGGTCTCTTCCTTGAACCTGTAATTCAAATAGTGCTCTTGGTATTTTCTTTTAAGTGAAACTTTCTTTTTGTTGGTATCTTAGAGTCTTCTGCTGTCTCATTATCGAGTCTTCCTTTTCAAAGCTATCCAGTGACATTTGTTCTTTACTCATTTTGGTGAGGGTTAAGCATGGTTTTACCAAGACTGTGACTGAGACAAATGTACAGTGTGGGAAAGAAGCACAGACAGAAGTGGTAAATAAAGTAACGGTCAGGTGATAGTCAGACTAAAGTAAGTGTCGGATACTGACTTAAAGTAGTCATTAGATGCAGCTGTGCAATTGAAGTACATCATCTCACCATTGTGCAGCCTGCCACCAGGTGCAGCTTACTTGTCAGTTGCTGCTCATTAGTGGGATTTTGATCCAAGCATGCAAGCAACTGATGTGTTTTGATCTCTGCATAGTCAGACATCTCTGCTAATATTCATCTAGATTTGCAGCCACTCCCCAGGGCTGCCATCACTGCCTCAGCTCCATTTCGGCTCTTCAGGATTAGATTCCCACAAGGAACGTGCATCTAGATCTCTGCATGCACAGTTCACTGTAGGATTCTCACTCCTATGAGAATCTAATACTACTGCTGATCCAGCAGAAGGTGGAGCTCAGGCAGTAAAGCAAGCAGTGAGAGTGACTGTAAATACAAAGGAAGCTTCACTCATTTGCCACTGCTCACCCTCATCTCTGAGACACAGTAGCTACACCCACAATGTAAAGGAGAAGAGTTTTAGTTTTGGCTCACAGTTTGTAGAGGTTTCAGTCCATAGTCGACTGGCTCCAAGGCAGGGTAGCATGGCAGAGGGGCATGGCAGAGGAGAGTGGCAGCAGGAAACAGAGAGAGAGAGAGAGAGAGAGAGAGAGAGAGAGAGAAAGAGAGAGAGAATATGAATATCAAAGGAGGAATGGGAAAGGGATAAACATCTCCACAGTACGTTTCCAGTGACTGCCTCTTTAGACCAGGCCTCCGCTCCCTAACAGCAAGCCAGCCATGAGCACCTATGATCCAGTCACCTTCCAGAAACCTGCCTTGGAGTGCAGGAGGCTTTAGGGGGACATCTAGATATAAACCATGATGATGGTTTTGTTTTCTGAGCCTGAAACACGTAGGAACAATATCTAAAAACAGAAGATGTAGTTATTAAGTTAGTTAGGAGCCCACCCCTAGTGCCTATCCAAACTGTGTAGAGGAAGGACGTAGAAGGAAGAGAGGGACAGAGAGGCCCCTACGTTTTTGTAGCTTTTCAACACCCAGCAAGCCTTTCTACTAGAAACCAGGCCCAAGGAAGAGCCTGGAGTTTCAGCCAATCGAGTTCCTTCCTCTTGTGGAGAAGCAGAGGTGGAGGATGCAAGGCTGGGAGACAGATGACAGCCCTGCACTCCTATGCACACCACCAGCCCCAATGCCATCTGGGTAATTCTGGCTGAGAAGTAGAGCTGCAGAGAGGGTGGAGAGAAGACACCCCTTGTCCAGGTGGCCTTCAAATTGGAATGTTGGAGGAACATGATGTGAGTTTGAAAGTGGCCTGTGTTTGGGGTGATGTGCTTCTCTGTGTCACCTTGGGCACTGCCTCCTGTCTGCCCCAGTCCTTGCCTGCCAGAGATAAGTGCAGAGACTCTGTTTAGGAGGAAAATTATTGAGCTATCTGGTGCCAAAGCCACCTTCAGCCCTGGCAGCTGCTCAGTGGTCAGGAGTCCCTGATGAAAGTCACACGAACCCAAAGCAGGCTTGTGGGTACTCAGAAAACACACTGGACAGAGGCTGGGCAGGTGGTACAGAACTTGTGTTCACTACATTTTTGTAATTTGTGTGTGATCTGAGGGAGGGGAGTGGTGGTGTTTATTGTCTTCAGCCTTTGAAAATTTTCAGTCCAGAACCTCAGTTTTCCCACCACTGTGCTGGCTGATGTTTTATGAATTGGCCTGAATGGCATGGTCTTAGATTGCTGGAGTTTAACATTTTTAAGAAGAAGAAAGGCAGATCCCACTGGTAAATTATTTACTATAAAGATGCACTATAATAAGTGACCATCACCTTGCAAGTCAGCCATAATTTATGTATCATGTGAACCTAGAATGATTTGGGATCTATAATGGACACTAAATATGACATATACTGTCATTTGTCTTCACATTGGCCTGAGAAATAGAAGGGCTCCCTCTTCTTGCCAGATTTAAAATGTCAGGAACTCTTGTTTCAGTTCAGATGAATGGGGATCAATTTCATTTCTGTGTGAGATTTCCAAGGAGGGAAATCTGTAAGCTGTCAGCAACCTGGTGCAGGCCTTCCCAGCCAGCTGAGCCTCAGTCTACTTCTGAGGTGACGGGGCCTGGCAGGCCCTGTGCTTGCTATTCTTTTTTTTTTTTTTGATGGGGAAATTTTTAAAATTACAAACTTAAGGAAGAAAAGGGGCAAAGGGGAGGGGGAAGTGGGAGGGGTAGGGGAAAGGAAAGAAGGGAATGGAATTAATATGAGAAAATGAAAAAATGGAAACAAAATCTTTGTAAATATGGAGGGATGGAGGGGTTGAAGGGAGGGCAGGGGAAGGGGGAAAAATAAGAACCAAGAGAGATTAGGTAAAGGTGCATATCTCCAATGATTAATGTCATTATATAGTACACCTAAAATGTACCAATAAAAGGATATACAAAAAATAATAAATTACAAACTCAATCCATTTGGTGTATTTCAAAAGATGCAATACTTTTCTTTATTTATCAGTGAAAGAAGTTAAAATTAACTTCAAAAAAGAAATTAGCAAATGGCAAACAAATTTCCTTGAAAGTCACAGTCACACACAGAGTGCATCCTAGAAGACAGGAGGGGCAAGGCAGCTTCCGCCCACTTTCATGAGTTTCATCAAATACTGGATCTACTCAAGGGTGGAGAGATAAAAAAGGCAACTTTCAAAAAGGAGTACATTATTAAATGAGGCATTTACTATACCCCTTCCTAAGAGCACCAGGTAGGGCACATGTCTTTCTAAACTAGATCTAGGAAGTGGAATGTGGAATCAATCCGTCCTCCTCCCCTAAGGGCTGTCCACTGGTTAATGAATTAAAAAAACAAGACTACAAAACAACCCCCCCACACTCTCCTCCAAAAAAGAAGGGGGGAAAAATACTAGGATGTCCCAGATTACTCTCAAGTGGAACCAGGGAGCAGCTTCAGCAATTCGAATTAGTCTGTTACAGAGTCATCACAAGCATGCCTTAGTTTTTAAACAATAACAAAAAAAGTTGTTTTGAAACAACAAAACAAAAACTAGTACTGATCACTTTTCTGACAATCACAATACTCAAAATTAACTAGTACTGGGAGGGCTGGGGGGCATACCTATTGGCCTTGTCTCACACAAGTGCATGTGGGTAGGTGAAGGGCACTTGTCATTATTGCAGAAACGAATTTTAATTTTTAATCTTTAGTTTGATTTAAACATTGCTTTTAGTATGATGCCGACACCAGCTGTGCAGAAAGGGATCCGGAGAGATGTTCATAGCAGCACACACCTGCAGCTCTTCTTCAGTTCTGGAGGTTCCAGGGCAGCCAATATTGCTTCATCAAACATATTCTTTAGGCCTTTGCGTGTGAGTGCAGAACACTCCACATACTTGACAGCCTTCAGATCTCGGGCCAGCTTTTCAGCAGTCTCTGGAGTGATAGGTTTCTGTTTGTTCTTGGCAAGTTTCTCAATAATAGAGAAACTCTGAGATCAATTTGGGTCCCAACAAGCAAGAAAGGAGTCTTTGGACAGTGGTGAGTTATCTCAGGCATCCACTTTTCTTTCACATTTTCAAATGAGGATGGAGAGACCACTGAAAAACAGACTAGAAATACATGTTTGTGGATAACTCAGTGGTCGTTATCTGTCATACTCTTGTCCTAAGAAAAAAATTGAAGAGAAGTCAACAAGTAAACCTCAGTGTCCTTAAAATCCTTTGCTCGCTATTCTTGTGGGATGGATAACATATGGGTTTATATTTTTATTTGTGGTTTATGGGAATATACATGGTACCTCGGTTCACAAACTCAATTCTTTCCACAGTTCTGGTTGCAAACCAAATTGGATGAGAACTGAATCAAATTCAATTGTTAGGTTCAGTGTTGACCTTATGAGGAAGCTTGATTCAGTTCTCATCCAGTTTTTTTTTTTTTGGTACCGGGGATCGAACTCAGGTCCTTGAGCTTGCACAGCAGGCAGCGAAACCACTGAGCTAAATCCCTGGCCCATCTCATCCAGTTTGGTTTGTGACCAGAACCATGGAAAGAATTAGGTTGTGAACCAAGGTACCACTGTAGTTATGAAGCTGTGAGATGTGATTGAAAAATATGGTGTGTGTTTAATTTTTAAAATGTATTACAGTGAAAGACACACTGCTGTGAATCCCTTTGCTTTAAACACACTTAACCCATGGTTCTTGCCACTTTCTGAAGCAGCTCTGGAGGTCTTCTTTCGTGAGTGTCTTTAGTTGTGCTGCAGCTGCCTTGATGTCCCAAATGGATTCAAAACATTTCCCTTTCACGGTTATTTTGACTTTCGGGAGGAGCCAGGAGTTGCACGGTGCTAGATCCAGTGAATGAGGTGCACACTGTTGTGTTTTTACAAGCGTGCCTTTCCATTGGATGGCATTCAGCAGCAGCATTTACTGTATTTTTTACCACAGCTTTTAAAGACACTCAGAAAAGAGGACTTCCAGAACTGCTTCAGAAAGTGGAAAGAATGATGGGATAAGTGTGTTCAAAGTGAAGGGGAGTGTTTTGAGGGAGTTTAATGGCAATGTGTCTATTACTGTAATTCTTTAAAAAAATAATTAAATATTCACCTTATTTTTTGATCACCCAGATATATTCCTTAGCTTCTTTCCTGTTATCAAAGGTTTAAATTAGCTAGTTCCTGTTAGGCAACTCTGGCTCGTTTCTCTAATCTGACAGTGGCCTTTGTTCTGTAAGATGCTTCGGTGTTTTGAGGTCCAGTGGTACTGTGTCCTCACTTTGAACTCTCTAAGGTGCTTCTGGTTTGGCTCACTCTTAGAACCCCATACAAGTGACACTGTTCACAGGTGACTTGCACCTCTGAGGAACATCAGTGCCCCGTGGTATTTCCACAGACTCAGTCTCCCAGGTTTCATTGTGCTTTAGCAGGTGTCTCACAAAAACCTTCAAGAGATTGGCAGCATTTTCTCTGTCCTGCATCTTGATCTGTGTCTGGCATGGTGCTTTATTGTTGAAATTCAGATGGAATTTCTGTGCTGGTTAATCTTAGTTGTTAACTTAAGGGCCTCCTGGACGGGTGATTGCATCATGGGGGTGCTGTATTCCTCAGTGGATTAACCCCCTGATGTTCATAGCGGGTGTGCTGTGGGGAGGTGGGGCCCTGGGAACCCACCTTTGGAAGAGGTATCTTTTGTTGGTGCTCTGCCCTTGTGCTCTGCTTCCCAGATGCTGTAAACTAAGCAGCTTCACTCCACCACACCCTTTCACCATTATGGAACCAGTTGATTATGGACTAAAACCTCTGAAACCATGAGCCAAACTAAACTTCTCTTTTTGTAAGTTGTGAGTATCAGGTATTTTGTCCAGCAATGAGAAAGCTGCCTAGTCACCTTCAGGGTGGTTGCAATAGACTCTGAGCAGTGCTGGGAGCCACCCACCCTCCTTCTCCATCCTCATCTTTAGCCATCCCAGGCTGGTGGCATTGTGGGCGGTTCTAAACAGCTGACATCTTTGTGCGTGGCCCCTTTCATCTGTACTGTTTTGTTGTGCCAGGATATTAGATTGTCCCCAGTTCACTTCTTTGAGATCCCCCCAGGTTCAGGGCTGTAGCTGAATGTTCAGGTGTGGAGTAGGGAGGCCACTGGTATAGACATTCTGTGTGTAATTGATTGAACCTGAAATTTAAACATTCATCTTGACAGTCTGACCTTCCTAGTGACAGCAGAGGCATTTTCTTTTCATGCTTTGTCAAGCCCATTCTTCATCTATTTGTCCAGAAATGTTCCTGATCTTGATTTAATAATTGAAAATCATGCAATTTATTTGTCGACCTCTGAGCTCCATATTGACATTAATTTTCATCTCAGAATGGGACTAGGACAAGTAATCTAACACCATAAATTCAGCAAAGATGAGGGTTGCCAGTGAATGGGTTCTTCTTATCAGGTTTTGACATAACTCAGCCAGTTGGTTACATCGGTGTAAATGTCAGCTGTTGTCACCGAAATATAGGTGCCTTACAATGGACACGAAGAGGCTAAAGATCCTGAAAGTGTTTCTGAGGGAGCCCTCCTAGAGTGACTGGGAATTCTCCTTGTCAGGAATTTGGGCTCCACAGGGACAGTCGATCCTTGGAGAAGTTGATACTATTCCCGATATTTTCTCTTCCTCTCTCCCATGCCTTTTCTTGGGAGACAGAAATCTGCTGCATTGCTCTCCTTCTTGTGCTAATCGATGTCTGCACTGTGTCCTCTCTGTCAGGCCTGGCCCATCATGAGTGCTGTCAAGTTTTCACACCCTCTGCCACCAAGCAACCACTCAGGGCTAACTTCACGTGGTTCCCCAAACACATGCTCTTTCTTTTCAGGATGAAGAGATGCGAATTCTAGTTTTGATTACTGGAACTATTTATTTTCCATAGCAGCACCTCATAGGACACATCGGTCTGTACAGAATTTATATAAACAATCCTCTTTTTATGGCCATTTAGATTGCCACACTTTTTTTCTATTATGAAAGCTGATGCAGTGAACGTTCATTTGCTCGTGTCTTTGTGCTTGGTACCCAGTTATTTCCCACGAGATAAATCCTAGGGGAAATGGCTGGGTCCTAATGTGCATACGCTTGGCGCTTTGAAATGTGCATTGCCAGGTTGTATTCCCAACACACTTCTTGTCACAACACGAATGTTCCCGTCCTCAAACCCACAAAGGCTGTGTGTTGTAATTGTTTAAGTCCTTGTCAATTTGATGAATCATAAATTATATTCCACTGTTTGTGTTTGCATCAATTGACTTGCTAGTGAAGTTGAACTCTTTCCTTCATAAGCTTATTAGGCATTTGCATTTCTTCACATTTTTTTTTTTTTTTTTTTGGTACTAGGGATCGAACTCGGGTCCTTGGACTTTCGAGGCAGGCGGTGGAACCACTGAGCTAAATCCCTGGCCTTCTTCACATTTTTAGCATTTCCTGTGAATTTGGATTTGAGGTTTATATACATTTGATTACTTTTCATTGGGATTGTTATTTCTCATTTAAGAATTAGTTTTAGAATTTGTTTAACTCATTTTTCTAGTTACATTCCTTAACATAATTTCCCTTATACGCTTTCAAGAGGCTGGGGTTCTTTTATGGGTATATAATTTATTAATTTTCTTTTCTTTATTTTTTTGGGTGGTGCTGAGAAGTACTCTTCCTGTGAGTTACACCTCCACCTTATTCATCTGCTTTTTAAGGGTGGGAATGGGTATAATCCTCTCCAGTACTTGCATGCTTAGGAGTGTCTTGGTTGACACAGAGTGTTGGGGTCACCACCAGCATTCAGACTCTGCCTGGATGATTCGTTGTCCTCATTACAGTCTTCTTTTTGTCCACCCACCTGTCTGGTCATCCTGCAGTCATTGTTGCATCCATTCAGGATGTAGTTGATCATGTTGTACTGTCACCTGGCTGTGTGTGGGCATTGGAAGAGAAGTGGTGTGGAAGAGAAAGGAGGGAACTCGGTGCCAGTCTTATCTGAAATTCCCCCGTGGTTCAGTTCAGTGTATACCTGAGTCTTTTGTTGGCCCATGGAATGTCCTTCAGTAATATCTTTGCTTATTGCTTTTCCTGCATTGGCTTTGATCCCTCCATTTACATTTCTTGTCGTACGGAATTCCTTCATTGAATTTCCAAGCTTCTGCTCTCTTCATTTAGCACTTTTTGCTCTGAATATCAGAAGAATCACATGAACTGATATTTCTGTTATTCACTTTGTTTTCTATAGTATTGGATCCATTAATTTACCTACTGTATGCATTTTCTCTTTATTTAAATAGTAATGTACATAATTCAAAGTCTACAATATTTGAAGGTTTATAATGAAAAATAATCATCAGTTTCTCTGCCCTTTTCCTGTTTCCCACAAGCAGCCATCTTTAATATATTTCAAGCTATTTCTTTAGTTACTTTCTTCTCCATCCCTAAATAATAAATTGTTACTATTTCTGAATTTATTAAAGTTTGACAATTTTTTTTTTTTTTTACTCTAGATGAGGACCTAGCACTGTTCATTCCCGTCCCCCACCATCTTTCTGGTGTTACGCTGTCATTATTTGTCACTGAAGTAAGAAGCAGTATTTATATTGACCTGACTCTGCTAGTCAGCACCAAGCCAAGTTATAGCCTATGATTTTGATCCTGGGAATGTTTGCTTGCCTCTCTTTTCTTGCAGTTCTGCTGAAAGTTCTGCATTTACTTTGCCCTCTCCCAGACCTCTGGTTCCCAGCCTTTTCTTCCTTCTTGTGGACCCCTCCCTCTGCACCCCTCCCTCTGCATCCCTCACCAGCCCCCTGAGTGGTCAGCTACTCTCCTGGCTGTGAACCCCCATCCTGCCTGCATTTGACCACAGCTTCTCCCCCAGCTCGTGCCCACTGCTTTCTAGGTCCCAGTCTTCCTCTTTTCTGGTTTGTAGTTGCTTTGTACACTAAGTCTTCATCCTTCCAAATCTCCTCTCTTGGCATTCATACAGCATGTGTAAACCAATGGGAGAGAACAACACCTACCCTCTTTTCCTTAAGACTGTTACAAATCGAAGAAACATTTTGAATCATTTAAAGAGCACTATTTGTGTAAAATATTTATGAACAGCTTTCTGTTACCAATTAGGCACTGGAATACCCAAACTGGAATTGTTCAAGTGTTTCCTTAAACTTTGCTACAGTTCATGCTTATTAGCCAGATATGTGCCGGCAGTGTGCTAGATGTGGACTAACATGGAAAGTACATGGTGACTAAATTGTTGCTTATTATATTTGCCTCCAGATCTTCTAGGCCTAAAACGTAATCCTTGTACACAGGCCCGGAGGAGGAGGGGGGAGCAGAAGGAGGCAACCAGTTGTCTCCTGTCCTTGCTTCTCTAAGAAGAGAGGCATGGCTGCATCTCTCCTAGAGCTCCTGCAGTTTTATGATGATCCAAATTGCAGGAAAGCCAGGCCAGCTTGGGCACCAGTAGTGTGGGAAATGCAGTTAACACCTCGCTCTCAGTCGGGTTAGAGGTCGGAGTGCAGCAGAACAACAGTCCTGGCCACCGGAATGTGGTGTTTGCCCTTGCCTGTGGGTCACCAGTGTTCAGTGAATGAGCATAAAAATATCACAAGATTGTACTTAAACTTGCTCAGCTTCCCCTTCAGGTATAGCATTTTTGGTGCCTTACTAAGGAGGGGCTGTAATCCTAAATATCCCCCAGGGAAGGGCAGTAATCCTAAACATCAGCTATAATCTCTGGCATCTAGACATTTGGAGCAGCTTTGGGTTCTGGTCAGCAAAGGCCCAGATGGTAAGTTATGCATCATGAATTATCACATTAAGATGGATTAATTTCAACCCATTGAAAGTACCAGTGGTTTGGGTCTCCCCAGAGTGAGCCAAGGAGGAAGAGGGCCTGAATGGAGTGTAAATGATCCCAGGGTACCTTTGGGGACCTCAGAGCACACATCTGAGAGCTGGCCCTGCACTCAGGCCACACACCCTCCTACAGCCAGGTGGCGCCTTGACAGAGAGGAGCAGGTGCTAGAGGTGAGCACTGTGAGGCTTCCCGGGAAACTGCAGGTACCCTTAGGCCAGGCTAGGAGACATAGGGGCTCTGGCAGTGTCTGTGGCAGGGAGCTAACTCAGAGGACTCAAGGGCAGCTGTACCAACAGGGAACACTCCTGAGCCAACCTTGAACCTCTGTTCTGTCCCACTGGTCCTGCAGCTGGAGCTGGTCCAGTGTGTGCCTGTGCAGCAAGGAGTAACCAGGGCAGACCTGGCTGGGTAAAAGCAACAGAAAGAGTCCAGACTTACCCCCTTCTAGGGTTTGCATGCCTTAGAGGGTTTTTGTAAACAATGTAAATAAAATTAGCATGCACAATTTCAGATGGGGACAGATGCTTTTTTTGCTTGATTTTTAAAAATTGTCACAAAAACCTCAAGCAGAGTTAATAATGTATGAAAATTAGGTACCATGTGTGTGCTTTGCTTGGTAATGTTTTTATTAAGCAGCAGTTGATTTAAAAATAACACAAGGCAACAATTGACATGATGGCAGTCTGCAGTGTGTGGGGAAACATCCTCTGAATGTCCTCAGGTTTTCCATTACACTGGGCCGTTTTTACAAATGGTTTCAGCATGATCACATGATACAAAATTATATCATGCAGTTTGGTCAGACAGACTGTCCAAATATAAATTCCAGTGACTTTTTAAATGAGTCAGTCACCTGGAGAGAGCCTGTGGGAGGAAATTCTTGCTGGTAGGCTCAGTGCCATGGTACATTCAGACTTCCAGCCCCTGAGAGTCCCACCACACCAGTCTTTTGCTGATTGAGGTTTGTCTCCCCCTCTTGCCCATCCCACCCGCTTAGCTGGCCTGGAAGTAGCAGACAGAAATAGGGATAAGAAAAAAGGTTACAGACCCTGAGGGGGCAGGTTCCAGTAGCTCAAGAGATGTCACGTTCTATACACGTGGTCATTTGGTTGGCTGGGAATGTGTCCTCCCCCAGGGTGAGTGAGGGTTGCTGTCCTTTGCTAAATGATTGGTTCCTGAAGATGTCTCAGCACCTGACAGAAGGCCATGGGCTCCTTCCACCCTTCCAGGCCCTTTGTTAGTGATGAAAGGTGGCCTTCCAGAAGCTTCTGTGATCTAACAGAGAGGCTTTGTGAAGTTTAATAATTTAGCCTGCACCCAAGGAGGTTCGTTAGTGACTTAATTTTAATGTATCTTACAGTACACTTTACTTATATGTGCCCTTGAAATCATTAATTATTGAGGAAAACAATTATCTAATGGTGTTTGTGTTTATTTCTGGGGTGAGAGAATGATCACACAGGTAGTGAAGCGGCTTGACAAAGCTGTGGTATTTGCTGCTTGTGGTAGGAGTCATGGAAAGACAGTGAGTGTTGTGGAGAGAAAGTTCTAAAGCCAAGGAAATGGGGAATTGGCTCCTGGATCGGGGTGTTTCACTTTTGGCTGTACATGTGTCCTTACTTCTGCAGGGACCTGCCTGGGTTTGTACCCCTCCACAGTACCCCGGGATGGCCCAGTGGCCACTCCTGATATCACCAATGCCCCTGGTGTGGACTGTGCCCTCAAGGTGACCATGCCTCATGATATTTTAAGAAGAAATTGCGACTTGTGCCAGGACAGTTGCTTGGAATCTCTGCAAAGAGTTGGTCGAGCTTTCTTGTCTACACTACGGTGTATAAAAATCACAGTCACTGGCTTCATGGGTCTTGAGTTTTTCTTTTGTTATTTGCCTTGTTAGAGAGTTTGAGAGTTTGCGTAGATAAAGGATGGAGAAGCCTGGTAGGAAATGATTAGCATTAAAGCAACTCAGTCAGGTACATCCTTGAGCAAGAATAGGGACCTCAGTGGTCCCCAGAAGCCTCCATGCAGGTGAGTGTTTGCTCCCAAAGGAGCCAGGAGTCCCAGGCCCTGATTCTGTGCCCAGGCTGACTGCAGCCTGGATGTGATGTTGAGGGGGTCTCTCCACTCACTGACTTCATCTTGCTCAGAAGCAATCTGGGAATATCTATCTATCTGCTCTTAATTTCTTGGAATCCTAAAGAGAAAGAGTTGCCCATCAGAATCCAAGGATTGTTTATTTCCTAAGTGTGAAGATGGGCTTCAGAGAGCCAAAGTAAAATTTCAAGGGATGCACATGGGCTCTTTGAGGATGGCAGTGCTCTTTTTCTAAGTTGTAGGCTCAAATTAGAGAAAGGATAAGACCTGTGTTGGGTTTTGTAGGACTTATCACAAAAATATGCCATGGGATATCATGCAGCTGTAATTTTTCTCCATCCTTCCCGAGTTAGTTGGAGGCAAGTTTTAAAACAGTCCCACCGTCTCTAAGAGTGGGCCTTATCTGCTTTGTCTGAAGCTATGCACAAAGGGTTTGGTTCTGTGGATCCCTTCAAAGTTCAGTCTATGTCTGATGATGCAGTAGGTCAGGGTGTCCCCCGAGAGTCGGGCAGTGTGATGGGACAGCAGACCCAGGTCCTCTCAGTGGCTCCACTTGTGTCCTTTGAGCCTTGGTAGAGGTCACTGGTTGCTGGGCTCAAAGCCTGTCTGATCTTTTCCAGTGAGGAGACCTTTGGGAACCCGGAGCCCGGCTGCACTTGAAGGGCTGAGCACCCCCATTCATTCGCTGGGATGTTTCCTGTGGCTTGACCATGTCCACAGAAGCCTGGAGTTATTCATCTCATGTCTTCTGTCATTGTCATGCTGGATCATCCCCCAGTGTAAGGGGGTTGGTCAGTCTTTAAAGATGCTAGGGAGTGACGCTATGTGTATGCAGAACAGGGCAGATGACAGCAATGCCATGCTTATTGGCTGCTTTGAGCATCTCTTGGCTCCTCCTCCTCGTCCCTGGGCACAGTATTTGCTGGAAACTAGGCGTAGCCATGGGCATCAGAGTCCTGAAGTCTCTGTTTCTCTTTCTAGTGAATTACTGCCCCCTTAAGACAGAGATCGTCCAGCTCTAAAGGCAGATCCTTCATCTGTTGGTGGTGGCATGCATATCCTCATGCTGTGTGGGTCCCCAAAGTCCCCACCCCCCAGCCGATGGCCAGCCTGCTCTTCCAAACAGCACCAGCCTGTTCATTCATGTCTTCACTCATCCATCTTGTGCTCTGTAGGTGCCACAGTGTGCAGCCACACACGGGTAGGTGTCTGAGGAAGTGGGAACTTGGCACTCTCCCGGCACCCATACCCCATCTGCTGTGTGGCCCTGAGGCTTGGCCCCAGGTCCTTGTGATGGGCCCAGCAGCAGTGCCACCTGACAGGTGCTTCAGCACCTGCCTGTGAGGCCCTAGCATAACTTAGACACTTTCACTGTCTCTCTTTCCAGCTGCCCCATGTGCCTGGGCCTGTGGTTGCTTGGGCTCTCCCTGTGTGGCCCCTGGCCATCTTATCTTCTGCCATCTCTGCATACCATTTTGTGCTCACATGCACTGCACTGCCTCGTGCTCTCTGCCACTGAGTGCCTGGCAGTGAGGCATGTGTCCCAGGAGAATGGGGAATATCCTGGGCCCCCCCGGATTCCTCTGTATTAAGGGGATTGTGACAGTGTCCGTAGGACTCTTCTGGTGCTGAGAACAGGCCTGCCTTATGGTGACTGGGTTTCCAGTTATTTTTCTGGTGGATGGTCAGGTTCTGCACTGTGTCCTTGGTACAGCGGCCATGTAGCTGGTACTCAGTGAATTCCTGTTAAATGTAGTTATTGGGTGAAGGAAGGGAGATCACGTGGCTCCCTGGAGAGAATGTGGGCCCAGTGTCCAGGGCCCTTGGTGATCCCAGCCACTCACACACTATAGATCACCACGCAAGCCTCCCGCCTCACCGTGTCATGTTCTCTGTCAGTGCAGTGGGCTTTCAGCTGCAAGTGCCACAGACTTAAACATTAAGGACTGAGATTGCCTTTCCCAGCAGGAAGCTGATTCACCTGCCCTGGCTCTGCAGGGCACTCCGAAACTGGGGCCCCTGAGAGGCCCCTTCTCACCATTCTGAAGCACTAGGTCCTTGTCCTCACCCAGGACAGGAAAGGGACAGTGTCTCCTTGCACCTGTGCTGTCAGGGAGGGAAGCCTTTCTCCGAAGCTACCCGCAGCCCCCTCAAAGTCCCGCTGGCTCTGCCGTATGACAGGAGGACCATGTGTCACCAGGTTGAAGCAGGAGGCTGCTCGTGCCAGGAGGGAGGGAGGAAGGGGTTGGGAGGTGAATGGGCTGTAGTATAGGAAGTTGACAGTGTCTTCCTGGTGGGATGTTGATGGCACAGCTCTTAGTGGGATCTTAAGAGCCAACAGGATTGCATAGTGGAAATGTGGAGTGTCACCTAGCAGGTGACTCATCCACCCATTGACATCATACCTCTGCAGATACAGGTCTGAAAGCAAATGTGGGTGCCCTGAGGTGGGTGCAGCCTCTCCAGTGTAGCCTCAGTCTCCGCCATGTCCTATTTCGTGATGCATAGATACTGGGCTCTTTTTCCTACCTGCCTGTTCCCTCAAGGCATTGAGGTCTGCAGCAGAGCATAGTAACACCTGTGTTTCACTTGCTTATTCTTTTATTATGCAATTAGACCCTGAGCATCTTCATTAAAAAGAGTCCCTTGTTGGGCTGGGGATTTAGCTCAGTGGAGCAAGCGCAAGGTCCTGAGTTCAATCCCTGGTACCAAAAAAAAGAGTCCCTTCTTAGTGAGTTTAATTGTGAATTGGGGGTTGGTCGTGGGTCTGCCAGTCCTCTTTTGATTGCCCCCGCTTTCCCAGGTTCCAACAGGAGAGGCGCAGGCGGACTGGAGGTTGGTCCCATGGCCTGTGGTTGGATTTTTCCCTAAGGTACTAGAGTTGGCATAGACGGTATCTCCTGTGCAATGTGGACTCTCATCAGTAGACTGAAAAGTGAGCAAACCCCGGAAGTCCCTCGTTACAGTGTTCACAGATCATTCGTTCACAAACTGTAGAGTGTCCTATTCTCTGTTCTCTTCAATGTGCATTTCCTATTACTTTGAGAGCTGTGGACATTCTGCGTGAGTCCAGACACAGTGCCAGTTTTTTGTTGTTGTTCTCTTTCTTCCTTTTTCATTTGTTTTCTCAAAGAAAAAAAATCCAGCTGCTTCCTTGCCTCAAGATACGAATTCTGCCTTCTGGCTGCATTGGATTCCCAGTTTTCAGAGAAAGGCCTCAGTTTCCTGGTTTGGTTTATGGTGTTCTCACAGAGAGCTTTACTTGGTGGCCTGGAGCCCTGGGGCTGAGGTTATTTTAAGATAAATGATGCAGGAGAATCGGCTTCGCAGAGTTGGTGGAAAGGGGGCACACCTGTTGCTTAAAGAGTTACGGTGTGATTTGAAACCTGGGTTTAGGAAGGTGAGGGGACAGAGCTAAGGTGGAGTTCAAAGCCATGTTTGTGGGTGGTGGTGACTGTGTCAGTGCTAGGTCTCGCTGGCGCTGTATGGAGCTCAGAAGCCTCAGGGAAGCCCATATTGTCCGGTGTCTGGAGCCGAGAGGAGGGTGAACCACAAGGGAGGTTTCTTCTGCTCTTGTCACCTGTGATAGTCACATTTCCTGTATTTTACCTCTAATGAGGACAAGCAAAGCAAAATGGAGAGGGTATCTTTTGTTTTTTTTTTGAGAGGGTATCTTTTTAAAACAAAAATCATGCTTTATCCGCATCTGACTTGGAAATTGTTCATGATTATACATGTGTGTGATTGCATCTACACACGTGTAATATTCATGAGTAAAAACACAGAGACTGTCATAAACTGCTTATCACGGTTCGTTGCAGAACGCTGACTCCTGGAGTTTTAAGATTTAAAATAAAAAGACCCTAGGGTCCAGAATGGAATGCCAACTTCATGTTTTCCAAAATAATTAAAAAATTTTCTAAACATTTTAGTAAAATACACATAAAATTCACCATCTGTGCCATTTTTTAGAAGTGTATAGTCTCTATAGTGTTATGTATTTCACATTGTACAGTCAGAGAAAGACATCAAGGAGCTCTGTGCAGTCACTTCCCAGATAGTAAAAATGCTAACTTTTTTGCCATTTTGCCCCAGATCATTCCTACTTAAAGCGCTGCTGCAGGAACTGTTTGTTAC